GTGCCATGCCTCTTCAGTTCTCTGTGTCTTGTCTGAATGCTAGCCAGGAGTTGTAACTGACTTTTGCCTGCTCCTGGGATCCAAAGACAAGGTAGCCTCATGGTGTCTTTACTCCTGCAGCTCATGGAGATTGATAGAATGACTCTCATACTAAAGAACAACTAGAATATGTCAACTGAGGTCTCAGTTTTGTATATGATGCCTTCCTGAAAAGTAGGTATATAATAAGTGGGAAATAGTTCTTAAATAGTTCTATGATACTAATAAGGCGAAAACTGAAATCATTCACTTCCCTATATTATTTCTACTTTATAATAATGTTAACCACTAAAATTGTTGAACTTAAGGTTTGGTTTTGTAGAGTTTAGGTCCTTTTTTTTATAACCTTATATGAAGAGTTCAAGGTTTCAGAAGCTAAAATGAGGATGGGGAAGGGAATGTTCGATGGAAAGAGATAAATTTTTCCTTAATATCTATCAGGGAAAATATTTTAGCATAGTAAAAGGAAATTTAAATATGGATCATGTGCTTCTTTTATTAATGCTCCTCTTCCCTCCCCTATAAGTTCCATGAAAGGCAGTAGGGTAACTCTCTCAATGGTACCTGTGTTACCTACATGAAAATTAATTGAACTCAAAAGATAAGTCCTTCAATACTTCAATCTTACTCAAAGGTTATAAAGTGCACTGACTAATGAATGAATATGGTACTTTGAAAAACATCTAAAACATAATATATAATTATCTTCCATTAGGGGAACATATCAGAAAGTTTTATTTTCATTTTTTTAAACAGTTGAGTTCAGGCCAGTTTCTCATTTTGTGTCATTTTTCTCATCTTGCTCTGGCTTGTGTTCAGAACTCCCACTGACTTCCAGAAAGATCTTTGCATTTGGCTCAGCTTCAAAAGTAGGAAACAAGATATTGAACAGACCCCACTGCTTCTGAATATCTCTAAAATAATAATGCTCTACCTTCCAACTGGAGACCGCACAGTGTATTTTTCATCATCAGCATCAAAGAGTGCAAATGTGACACTATATAAAATATTTTATAAAATGAATTCAAAGACTATAAAAGAGTTGCTGACTGTTTTGTGGGATTTTTTGTTTTCTATTATCATGAATATATAATTTCATGTGGTCCTTATAAAATCTTGTGAAGTTTTTAGGGTAGATATGAGTTTTTCTATTGTGCAGAGAAGAAAACATGGCATAGAACTGTTAGCTGTTTAATAATAACTCCTAGCTCTGTCAGCAGCCTGTGTACTTCAGACATCTGACAAGCTGCAGCATTACTTATGGGAGTTTTACAGGTCACGCAGGTGCACTAAGTATTGTCTACAGAATGGAAGTATTTTTCATTTATTTATGTACTATAATTTAAAAATATTTTTAAGTTCTACTGTCTCACTAAAAGACTCTATCTCAGTCAAAGACAGACTGAAATGACAAGAATCTTTCTCATTATAAAATCAGTATCTTCAATAGCTATGGCAGTAACACAAATAAGTCATCAGTATTAATGGGTGAGGAAATGAATCGTATTTGAAAAAACCCACAAGTTAGCATTCTCTAATTTATTAATAAAGTATGGATGAAGCAATTCTTATTTTCCCTTAAAATACCATAATATTCATAATTGTCTTAGAATTATGAGAGGAAAAAGATGACATATTAAATGATGACAGAGGAGAGGACAGAATATGGAGAAGAAAATTTTTAAAGGATGAAATAACAAATATGATGTGAAAGGAAGAATAAAACTAGAGATCTAACAGACCCTGAAGGAATACCTGTGGATGAGAAACAATAATGGGAAATAAAGACAAAGGATAATGAATATATCTCCTAAAGGAAACAATATCACTCTGATTTCCTTTTGGATACAATTATGTCTACTCTTTTCATCATAAATATCATCAAATTGTCGATTTTATTCTTATTCAATAATCATTAAGTAAAAATGTGAACAAAAGGCATGCAAGGAAATATTTTGATGTTTATAATATGAAAGTGCACAAACAAAAACAATAAGAAACTCATCTGGACATTTCTCCCCTATTTCTCCATAAAATAAAAGCCTTAATATGTGGAAGGAGGGGTGATAAATGCTGCTGGTCATGTTGCATGAGTGAAATCCCATTGCATCTGTGGAAGGGGAGAGAAAAAATTCATTCCTTTGGTGGAGAGGAAGAAATATATGCCAGGTTCAGAACTATGCCTAGAGAGAATAAAAATCACTAACCCTCACACCCAAAACTCTAACATACAGACTATCTCACAAAGAGGTTTCTTTGGAACAACAGAGAATGCCTCACAAGTTCTCCCTCTTTTAGCAAGTGTTGAGGAAAAAATAATCTGTGAGACATAGTCCAATGAGAAAATTTAAAGCTGAAAGGAGAGCAATCTGTCATCAGAAAACAAAATCTTCTGGCAAACCATTTCCCACACTAAAGACAAGGTATCACTAGAGGAATTTGAAGCCAAGGGTGCACTGGGGATAACTACAGAAACAAGAAACCTCAAATCGAACTCAACTTCAAACGAGATTATCTCACATCTTGCACTAGAGGCAAAACAGAAGAACAACATTTCCAGATAGAACATTGATGTACTTCACTTCTTATTGTCTTGCAAATGATGTCCATCCAGTTTTCAACAAAAATATGAGACCTATTAAAGTGCAAGAAAAAAAAAACGCTAAGAGACAAATCAATTATCAGAACAAGATCCATATATGCCACAGATGCTGGAATTATTTCAGAGGAAACTTGAAATAACCATGATTAATATGTTAAAGGAAAAGATGAACAATATGCAACACTAGATAGGTAAATTCAAGGGCAAAATGGAAATTATACAAAAAAATTAAATGCAAATGCTAAGAATGCAAACAGTAAATGGAGATGAAGAATAAAGTCTTTCAAGAATTTTTGCTATAAAAATATGCTTTGAAAGACAGTCCAGCACAAAGCCTGTCAATGCCACGCCTCTAAGATGTGCGGAAATGAGAAACCCGTGGTAAGATTATCTCCTCGCAGTTCAAATTTGAATGATTATGTAAAGGTTCTACAGAGAGTCAAACTATTACCATAATATAATTATTTGTTCTTTTCTGAATGTTTACAATATTTCATAGCTTAAAATAACATTGAAAATATACAATTGGTTTAAAGCAATATTTAAATTCTCCTATATTTCTCTAAATGGAGCAATAGTGCCCATCCCTCAGGAGCTCCACAGTCCAGTGCTAAAATTCCTTTGGTGAGTTAAAGGTGACATCCATGTAAGTATCTGATCTTGACCCATTGGTGCTTGAAAACAAATTGTATCAGTTAGAGTTATCTTGGTGGCAATAAAAGAAGAAGGTTTTTACAAGTTGAATACAATTTTTGGAAGAACATTGGTAACTCACACCTTTGACAAATGACCATGAAGTAGATTCTTAGGAACCAATGTAACTCATGTGCCAGAAAGAAGGACCCATACAACAGAATGCTAAATACATTTAACATTTTGTCTGTCTGTTCAACATTCAAAGTTCAGAGTTCATCATGGGAACATTGTTTTGATTGAGGCTGGATCAAATGACAACTTCCAGCTACTGCCTATCACATATATCTGATGGAGAAGAGGAAAGTTCTCAAACAGAAATGGAAGTACTCTTAAACTTAGCCCAAACAAAATAAGACAAAACAAAAAATACAGAAAGCAGATTCAGGAGACTCACTCAAATAATGATGAAACAGCAGTAGGAAAATAATATTATTAGAAACTTCTAAAGGCTCCATCCTATTACTAAAATACAGTTAATATATATCTCCATCAGTACTTTATAAACCTAACAATTTTCATGCTTGGTCCTGATTATATTTTGAACCTTGGTTATTAATATCACTATCTGTATAGTCTTTATATTAGAACTCCAGACTCCCTCATTTTCTTTGTCTTTCTTGATCTCACTTATCAGAAAAAAAGCTGTAGAGCTCAAAAATGGTATTAAATTGATTCCTCCTCATTTCTACAACTATATTGCCTCATTTCAGGCTTTCTGTTGACCTTCCAAATATCAGGGTCTTCTCATTTCCCCCAACTTCCATGTTCTTGCCTTGGTTTCTCTCTCTAAAAACAAATTGGATCACATAATCTAGTACTTAAAAATGGAAAAACATATAATAAAAACTCTATTAATGTCCCATTCTGATATCCCCATAGCATAAGACATAGATCCACCCAATCTCTAAATAATTTGAAAAGTAAATTATTACAAGTAAAAGACTGAAGTAAATTTATTTGAATTTACCTAAAACAAGTCAATTAAATTAATGACTAAAAAGCTCACTTTTTGAGAATATGTAATAAGTAAAATAATTTTTCCATTTTATGCTTGTTTTTTCTATGATATCATTTTATTTTTAGAATGGCAAAATAGTTTATTTAGAGTCAATGGCTTCCTTTATAAACACTACAAAATTAAATATGACATATCCTTTAATCAACAAAGACTACTCTGAAAAAATACCTACAGAATGATCAAAAGATCTTTATCAATAAATCTTATTTCAGACTGTTATCTCAAAATTTATTTCTTGAAAAAATTAGTATGAGTATTTATGTAAAATGACAACTAGATGAAATAGTATCATTGTGGACAAGGAAAATGTCCAAAAGTACTTATTATTCACTTTTATTTCTTTGTTAAATATGTTATTATATTTGATTTAAGATTATAATTTTAAAAGGCAAAAAACATCATTGAATGGTAAGGTTTTTTATAATAGATTTGTACTCCAAAGACACAAGAGTTTTTATCATATTAAGTACAGCAAAACATTTTTGACCTGTATCCTTCTTTATTAAAAAATTATTTAGCATATCAAGTGAATTTAATAATATTTAGTTGGCTCTAAGTTACTTAAACAACATATCTTTTTACCATAGTTTCTTTTTTTTTTTTTGGTTGTCAAATGATCCTTTATTGAAACATTTTCCTTTGTAGTTAACTAGCCGGGCATTCCAGCGCACCACTGTTGATGTCATCTATGATGTCATGAGGGTGGCGGCCATCTACATTGCAGCCCACAGACTGGGCAGTCCCCAGGATCTCTTTAATGGTTCCAGAGAGTTCTCTCGCTAAAGATCGGTGTCGCATCTGTCGGGCAATATTGACAATCTCATCAAAAGTGATATTTCCACTGTGCTTAATGTTTTTCTGCTTCTTTCTGTCTCTTGGTGGTTCCTTGAGGGCTTTGATAATCAGGGCAGAGGCAGAAGGTACCACTTCAATCTGGGCCTGTCTGTTCTGAATGGTCAGTTTCACCGTAATCCTTAGACCCTTCCAATCACCGGTTGCCTTGGCGATGTCATCACCAACCTTTTTTGGAGACAGACCCAGCGGGCCTATCTTCGGGGCCAGGGCAGACGTGGCACCGACTTCGCCACCGGTGCACCTCAGGTACACGACTTTGATCTCGTTGGGGTCGAACTTAGGCGGCATGGCGGAGGCGGCTGGTGTCGGATGAACCCAGATTCGGGACGACCGAAGAAAGTTGCACCTTTGCCTCCCTGAGCCGAAAGCCAAAAGCTTTACCATAGTTTCTTTTAAAAAAAAATATATAAAACTTCAGTCCCAAAGTCTAATCAAAAATATTTCAAGATTAAACTAGATTGCCTATAATATGCACTTAAGATATTTTAAAAATACAGCTATAAAGATGTCTTTCCCATTTGAGTATGTAGGAAGATGTGTGCAAAGGCTAAAAGTTACACATATGCAAAACTTATAAGAAAGAGTGTTTGAAAACTATTTATAAACCTGAGGCTATAATTTTGTTTTGAAGGAATGGCTGAAATCTAGTTATGATCATTTAATGTTGACCTCTCGACCTTTGGCCTTGTATCACATAAAGTGGCCATTTTCATATTTTTCTACACTTTAAAAAGACTATGATATATCAAACCCATTTAGATATGGAGAGCCAGAACTTAATCCAAAATTGTAATTCATAGATTACCAGATTCTACTTTGTTTTAAGTAAATTTACACAAAAAATAAACCAGAATGATTTTTAATTTTAGTCAATCCACCCACATGCAATTGAATTAGCTGTGAAAATGTTCTATCTTTTCTATATGCAAAAGCGAAAGGCTGCTCATGTATGTTAACAGGGTATCAAAAATCTGTTGAGGAGGATAATGTATTCAGTTACAAGTTCTTTAAAGAGCTACAATTTGTTTATGCTGAGGTTAATATGGAACACATATTTTATTGGAAGATGAGGATCAGTAAAAGTACATAGTGCAGAAATGTACTAAAACACCAAAAAGCATCAAATATAATGATAGTGTTCTTTCTGCAAGGAAAAGAAAAAATAAATATGAAGTAGATGGTTAATATGAATTGAATGAGAGTTAATCTTTTCATCTAATTATATATATTTAAGTATTAAATATTCCTTTTTTTCCAGAGGAGTAGTTGGATGAGAACGCAGAAATGGTACCAAAAGATTTTACTTCTGCCTATTTTTTAATTGTATAATTAAAGTAAAGCCATTATATAATTGTTGCAAAGAAAACCAACTAGTGGTATTTCAGAAGATAGTAACAGTTGAAAATAAAAGTTCACACAGACACTTCAGATGCACTGGAAAGAAAATATCAAGATATACAGAATTATTTGTAATAATTTTATCTCACGAAACATTATTCACATTATTAATATTTCCATTGTCTACTAGTAAATTTACTTACTATAATTGTATTAGTACCTTTAAAATGATAGAAAACCAAATCAAAAGATTTCTATAATATTTTACTGAGTTTAAATATCAATGCATACTTTTCTAGTAATTTTTAGAGTACATTTTAGAAAAACAATAACAAATAATTTGAGAGAAAAATTCAAACCAAGTATTTCACAGTATAGAAAGTTAGAATAAAATGAAAACTCCATCTAAATATACTGAATAGAACATTGAAACATAGTTGCTATGCATGTGAAATAAAGTCAGGCGTCACACTGACAGAATTTCAGCCACACCTACTTGCTCTGGGACCTGGAGCAGTTATCTAAATTCTTCCCCTCAATATAATCACATTCAGAAATAGATTAGAAATAGTGCTTCCATTATAAGGTCATCTAAAGATTAAATGGTTTAATTATTGAAAAGTTCTTAATGCAATCCTCACTGCATGATAAGCACTAAATAAATGTTGGTAATTATTATTATTATTAACTGATTTGTCTTATGATCTGCAGGTTAAAATTGTTGCCTTGAATCCCTGACTTAGGTCTGTTTTGTTAAGATGGAATAAAGAAGTTCACCGAAGTTTCTGGCTGAACTTTTCTGATCTGATATCACCCTCTCCCTCAGCTGCATCAGCTTTGGGCCTCCAGTTTAGTTCATGCTTGACTGTTTCCAAGCTGAAGAAATGTGTCCTGGTCAAAGCACATAAATAAATTTGTTCATGTTCAGCCTCTCTTTTATGTCTCTAGATATAATTGAAAAGCCACGTAATTACTATGGAAGCCTTCGAACTCTGGGGACCTTAATTGAGGACCTGAGATAAATCTATGGTCAAACTCACCTACTGAAACACCTATTAAAAATTTAAATGATTCAATTTCTATTTTCCTCTTTTTTCCCTTCATCACTCTTTAAAACTATACAATACATTCTTATTGCTTGAAGTACTGGTTATAGACATACAGAAAAGATTGATAATATTATTCCTAAAACAACTTCAGTCCATTCCCAGAAGTCACTGTCATCACTGTGAGTGTGTGTATCTAATAAAAAATCTAATTTTTTTAAGTTATACTGCATATTTTCTTATAAGTTATATAAATATATAATTTAAAGTTACAAATACATGTAATACTTAAAAATAATATGCAAGACATAAGAGGTATATTTAAGAGGTATATCCACCTGATAAAAAGAGAGATATCCAGTAACACATACATACATAATGGATTAATTTTTATGTACTAACATATACATGTATACATACATACTTGTATGCAGATGTGAGCATAATCTGTATATAAATTAAATATAGAGAAATTCAATATTTTTAAATTGAATCTTGACATTCCTACAAGTGTTATATTATTTATAAATATACATACAAACCTATATACACACACATATAATTTCTCAATTGACAGACATCGTATAACATACACATTTTCTTATTTTTGCTTCCACAAACAATTTACAAAAAATATTTTTGTATACATGTGTGTTAGAATATGAATTTATAAACATATACATCGTACATACTTAAAATTAAAGACTTTCTTTTTGGAAATTGCATCGAGGTAGAATTTCTGGGTAAAAATTGATATATATTTAAAACTTTAAAAGATATTTATAGCATAGACCATTGAAATTAGGTAAAGCTGCTAAAAATTCCAGAGTCTATGGCACAAATAAATAACTGTATAAAGACTTTTAATCCACCTACCTTTACCATTGGGGAGACAGGGGAATGACAAAATCTTGTCACCAGAGCTAGAATCTTAATCCTAGTAAATTGTTTTCCAGAAAGGTTATAGCAATTTACTCTCCCAGTGGAGGTGTATGAAAGCACTTGATAAAGTAGGCAGTTAGCTAGATATGAGCAGACAATGAGACTGCCCAACTGTTGAAAAAGATGGAAATCGCCAACCACCTCCCCAAGGTAAACATCCAGGGAAAACCCCAGAGAACACTCTTGGCCCTTCTCTAAAACCCTGGCCCTGCAGTAACCTATAACTTCATTATAGTACATTTACGTTGAGGTTTTGACCCCCGTTTGAGGTGGGGGGGGGGAATAGCTGCCATAACATTTTCGAGAAGGACCATATAGAGCCAAAAACTCCCCCTCCTGATGGTAGGAGTAGTCTCTTAAATGGTTGGTGACAACCTCAGTCAGAGACCACTCTAGCTATGACCCATAACCCATGCGAGTATAAAAAACAAGACAACTCTGACACCCACTCCCAACCCAACCCCCTCAGTTACCACCTCTGGGCCTGCCTACTCTCCCACTTTGAGAGTATACTTTTGCTGGGACCACTATTAGTCTCTTGTTTGCTTAAAGGTTTGACTCTAAATTCTTTCATGGCTGAGCTAAAGGACCAAAGCCGGGGAACAGGACTGCCACTAACATACTTATCTCTGCACACAGCATCATCAGCTAAGGATATTACTCTTTTATCCCATAGCTTTATTGGCTAAGACTATATTACATTATTAATTTAATTTCCATTTCCTTGACATTTAGTGAGATTGAACAAAATGTTATCTATTTTACTGGTAAAATGATTTCACTTATTATAAATTATATCTTTAACAATTATCTATTTTCCTCTTAGTCAATTTTTTTCTCACCATTAGAAAAAAATCCCATTGATTTTGTTAGTCATAAGTTTGCATTCTGTTTCTTTATTTGTAAATCATTTATGTTGTCTTTGCCATAAAAATATTTAATTTTAAACATTTAAATATGTCTATATCAAGACATATTAAAAATGTCTTTATGGCTTTCCTCTTTCTTTCCATACATAGATAGCTTAATTTGTTTGAATTACACATTTGTGATCATAAAGTTTTTATCTTTTTATTTATTTTTTTAAGATTTTATTTATTTATTTGAGAGAGAGAGAATGAGAGATAGAGAGCACGAGAGGGAAGAGGGTCAGAGGGAGAAGCAGACTCCCTGCTGAGCAGGGACCCCGATGTGGGACTCGATCCCGGGACTCCAGGATCATGACCTGAGCCGAAGGCAGTCGCTTAACCAACTGAGCCACCCAGGCGCCCCTATCTTATTTTTTTAATAAACTCTATCTTGCAAACATATTTCTTGGTTACACATATCTCTTCATGAACATCATTTACAATGGTAGGCTTTGAGAGAAAATGAATGACAACTCACATTACACTATTTTGGAAGCTTTGAAATGTACATATTATGTGCAACCAATTGAAAAAGAGCAATATAATTTACATACCAGGTCAAGATAAAATTTATTATACAATTTATACAATTTGAAAAATATAACTTTCCTTCTTTCCCAAAAAAGGGACAAATCTATCTTAAAAGAATACCTGCTGGCAAGGTCTTTTTTTTTTTTTTTTTTGCTTTTTTTCCCTAAAGATAGGAAAATATTTAGGTCTATTTAAATGCCCAATGCATAATTGAATTTCTGGATTTCTGCACCACAAAGCATGGAAAATAAGATTTTAACCAGGAATATTTTTAGAGCAGATGTTGTCGGTTGTCTACCTTGACTTTTTCTATCAAATGTATGATTTTGAATAGTTATGCTTCTTGGATGCTGTTGTTAGGGTGAGTCAGCTGTAAAATGTCTCAACAGTTAATTTAGTAAATTGACCAAATGGGTGGGTTCTGTTATTCTCCTTTTAAGATTGCATACTATCTTCCAAATTAAATAAGTTTTGTTTTTTTCTATAGTTGCCATCAAACCGCTTTCTGGCACTAGTTAAAAGATTGAGTGATATTTCAAAAAGCCACAGATTTAGGATAGAAAAACATATTTTTAATACAGAATGA